TTCTTTTTTGGTGGAACTGGGGATTGAACTCAGGCCCTTGGGCTTGCCAGGGAAGCCCTTATTCTACTGAGCTATCTTCCCCAGCCCCTTTATTTATTTTTAATTAATCATCAGATTAGTAGTCCATTTTGCTTGCTTTCTTCATTCATGCTTATCTCATCTCATACTTAAATGTGAAGAATTGTTAACAACATTGTTAAGTGTTGGCATCAAGGTGACATTTTCTACATGGTGATTCTTTTGCTGTCAGTAGGTACTGAAGTAATTTACTTCTGGTCACTTCATAAAGATCAAATTGTTAGGAGCCTGTGTCATCTGTAGTTCTTGTTTGACATAGGAAGGAAAGAGTCACAAAGGAAAGTATTTGTTGAGCTGTCTACTTTGAGGCAAACACAGTTTATATGATTTAAATCTGCACAGAAATTGAGCAAAATGTTATATTGAGCAATCTGATTATTCCAGAGGCTAGCTTGCCCAGATCACTTGCCTACTTATTTGTCAGAATTTGTTGACTCTCAGCCTTTGAGCTTCCTTCTCTTGAGTTTTCCATCATATTGCCCTGTGGCATTGCAAAGAATTGTGCAAAAAGCACAGTGCCAACAAATGTAGCCATAGTTGTCCACAGTATTCGGATTCTATGACAGGCATATGACAGTGGTCAGAGGCTTAGTATTAGGACCAGGGCTCATCACTGAGATCTCACAGTAGGTGAGAAAATAGCTGGGTTGTTCTCTGCTAGTTCTTTGTTGGGTATACATGATGCAAAATGAGTTACTTATAGTAGGGCAGTGTGACTTTAGCCCTATATAAAAGGATATTTCTTTCTGTGTCTTTCTGTTGCCTAATCCTGAGAGTATTTCCATATTCTCTTCCTCAGAAGTGAATCACTAAATTTAGCCCACACTTAGAAAGAATAGGTAAAACAAAGTCATGATACTAGGAAGTGGCATCACAGGAGGCATTCTTAACCTAATTCTTACTACCTTTTTTGTAAAATGAAAATGGCAGCCCTTAAGAATTTTATATTATTATAAAATACCTATTTTAAGGACAGATGTAGTGTTCTTTTGTCACTGCAGAATAAGAATAAAGTTCTGATTAAAAGAATCCAATTGTGAGAGGTGTGGTAACAGTGCAAAGAAAGGCAGTGGGAAGAAAGTTTTATGTAGTTGTATACTTTCATTAAATGGTATGTGATTGGTGAGACATAATATAGTATTTCCAAAAGTAAGCACATACCTTTCTAAAGAACTAGTTGAGATAATCAGATTAGAACAGAGAAATTTAAGTGTAACTCTATCAGATTAAATCCCAGCTCTGCAATAGAAAGTCTCCAATTTTCTAAGAGTAGTAGCCAAGCATGTTTAGCTTAACTTTGTTATAGAACCTGTTTTTATCAAATCAAAAAGCAGTAATGTTTTAAGATCATTTGTGTAAATAATGATCATTACATTAAAAAATAACCTATTTACTCTTCTTTTCAATGTTCAAGAAAGCATGTTAACTTTTTTTGAACTGTCTCAAATTTTCCTTTTAACGTGAGATACAATATTGCAAAACTTAATTAACTGTGACTACTGAGTATGTGCCAGGATTTGCTTGAGTCAGTGAGCAAGTAATATATTTCAGTTAAAGATTCATTAAAGAATATATTGATTTTTTTGACATCTTAATTTTGAAATAAAGTCTGTATTACATATTTATAGTCAAATTGCCTTTCTCATTCTACCTCTGTCTCAGATTCTTAGGGGTTTTATTTTCCTGCTTTCTTTCTCTTTTCTTTCTTTCTTTTTTTTTTTTTTTTTTTTTTTTTTGTTTTTGCTGGAACCGGGGATTGAACTCAGGCTCTTGCACTTGCCAGGGAAGCACTTACTCTACTGAGTCATCTCCCTGGCCCTTCCTACTTTCTCTTCATTGTACATCTGGATTTGATTTTGTTTTTTCTCAGTTAGCTTTTCACTATACCTTCACTTCCTTTTCTAGTTTCAGTTTCTTTATTTTTTTTTATTTATTTATTTATTTATTTTTTATGCATTTGGTACAGGGTCTCACAATGCAGCATGGACTCATAGTGATCTTTCTGTTTTCAGCCTCCACATCACTGGGATTACAGGCATGCACCACCACGCCTGGTCTTGGGGGCTGGTTTAGTGTGCCAGGGGGTGGGACTAGTTCAGCTTTTTAATTCATTTTTCATCATCATATTTTTCTAATCCTCTTAGCAGCCCTCGTTTTTTTCTTTCTAGCTTTCTGGTTGTAGGGGTATAGTTTATAAAAATGTAGCAGTATAATCTCTTACCATTTGATTGTGTGCCTGCTATTTAAACATCCTATCATGAATTGTTACAATAAAAGTACCGAAGTTTATATGATACCAACACTGGCTCTCATTTAGTCAGATGCTAAATTATTTAATTAATTTATTTAAATTTATTAATGTTTTTATTCATGGTTCTATGATGGATAGTGTTATTATATTTTCTAAAAGGAAATCCAGTACCTTTTTTTTTTTGGAAATACCATCTTTGTCTTACATTGGGAAATACAAAAATTATGAAATTGTTTTATACCCAAGGAATTTGGTAAGGCTAACCAATGGAAAGATTAATAGGCTTCCTTTTTTTTGAATATAGGGTCTCGTTACATAGTTCCAACTGGCCCTGTGCTCACTTTTGTAGCCCCCAGACTGGTCTGGAGCTAGCAGTGATCCTCCTGTTTCAGCCTCCTGAGTGCTGGGATTACAGGCATGCAACACCACGCCCAGTTCCAGGCTGGCATGTATGTGGTAATGGGGCTCAAACTCCAGACCTTGCACTTGCCATGCAGGCACTTATGCTGCTGAGCTATTTCCCCAACCCTGATAGGCTTCTTAATATTGAATTTTCTAGTTGGTTTTCTGCTTCGTATGTGTTTTCCTGAAGAATTTAGTTTACAAACTGAGTGATGAGATTGAGAGCTAGTTTTTGTTTATTTAAGGTGGGTGGCAGGATGAAACCTGGCCAGATGGTTGGACTGCAGTGACAAGAGATGGAAAGCGTTCCGCTCAGTTTGAGCATACTCTGCTGGTAACAGACACTGGCTGTGAGATCCTGACCCGGCGACTGGATAGTACACGGCCTCACTTCATGTCCCAATTTTAATTTCTCCCAAGATGACACATCTCAAAAATACCTTTTTACTGTACTATGCATTTTATTGAGCGTACAGAAAGGAAGAGGCAATTTTTTTTTATCAATTTCTTTTGATAAGAATGTTCTACAGCATTGTGTGTTATCAGGAGCTTGTCTTGAGTCTGAAAAAGCTGAAGAAGAATAAAGGAAACATTGCTCCACTCCTTTCAGTATTCTCCTCAACCCCTATTCTCAGAACATCTGTTTTCTCATTTGCTCCTTGAGCAATTTTCACTTAAACCTGCTTCTAGTAGCTTTTAGCACTGCCACAGACCGGCCATCAGGAGCCAGCTGCTTTCCAGTGAATATTGAAAATGAAAATCTTTGAAACTCTAGCAACATCTGTTGCTTCAGAATTTTATTTTATATATATGTGGAAATGTATATGTATACATTTTAAATTCCTTATAATTAAGAATGCTATTTGACCTTTGGTTTAGGTTAATTCTGCTCTGGCAGTGTTATTTGCTGTCACAAATGGATCCATAGTTTGTAGTGACTTAATTTCTAATTGGGAATTGGCCTTTCTCTCCTTCATGCTAATTGTTTATACATGTAATTGTGTGTAGGGAAGCATTCAGTGAGACCTCCCCAGTGTTGACTTTGGGTCAGCAGATGACTGTAGTAAGATTCAGTTCAGAAGCATATCAAATTTATTGAAGTCTAGTTTATGGCAAAAATGACTATATTCCAAGTGCTGATTGATGTTGCAAGGCATGAGAATTTTACAATGCACAACTGTTTCAGATTTCTATTGGTTAGAAATGGGAGAGGAAAAACCCCCTTACTTCCCCTATTTTGAGGGCATACCTTGGAGACAATGAAAAAAGATAGAGATTGCACTGTGGGATGATGGGAAAGAGTTCTAAAATGTTCCTGGCTGGCAGCACAGTAAATCAGGGGGCTGTGAGAGTCTGACATTTAGTAAACTTAATAGTGATAAGGAACTTTCTGAGTACTATCACCTTACGTAGGGATAATGCCGTCTGTGGTGTGCTGTATATACATACCACCTATTCATAATGGAGAACCTCATTAGATACAGCCATGGTTGCCCAGTATCTATGTTTCTTTCAACTGTTATTCAGGGAGAAGTGTATGTTGAAGATAGGTCATAAAGTCATCAGTAGACAGTAGAGTGTACTTGATTACTGGGTGTCTGATGACTTTCTAATAATTTGGTACATACCACTGACGTACTTTACTTGTAAAAGAACATTTTCCCAGAGTGCCTCAGACCATTGCTTTGAGAATTATGATAATGTTTTCATTACTATTATTATTTTAATGATTTAGTAAGGTGACTAAATCTGGCATAAACATTTGGGGGTATGTGTGTAAAGTTTTTATCGAACTGTAATATTTGTGAATGGAATGCCTTGTAATATGAATGTTAATATAATGTGTAAAGGGAGATTAAAAATTTTAAATAATTATACTGCCCGGTAGTCATTAACTTTGCTTCATTTTGTTTGGGATTTCAGAGGGAATTGGTGAAAATGGAAAGGCAGATTTCATAATTAAAGACAAACTCGTGATCATTTTGAGCACAGGTGCCTTTTCAGGAGTGGCCATAGCCATAATTGTAGTATTGTACTTAATTTGTCAGCAACATCTGAGATGCAACCATATTTTTGAGAGCTTTTAAGACTTGAGAGCACAAATATGTAGAGGAACATCTTATATTCTGAGAGTAGAATTAACAGTTATGGGTTTATTCAGTGTCTCCTATTAGAAATTAAGGTCAAGGAAAATCTTTTTTTTTTTTTTTTAATTTCAAATTCTTTATTTCCAAAAGAAATTATTTTTTTTTGGGGGGGGCACTTTTTTAAAATTAATTTTGAGAAATAAATAGCATTGAGACAGTTTCAAAACTAATAGTAGGTTAGTAGGACAGTTTCAATAATTAATACATTGTATATTGTTGTCTTCCTAGTAGTTATTCATAGTACAAGATGCAGACATGATATCCTGTCCAAACACTATTAGTACAAATCCTTCTCACTGAATTAAGAGAAAGTAGCTGTATATCTATCCTATTTTGTATATACAGATACAGAATGGTCCTTCATTTATATCCCTTTTTTGTTTAGTTTTGTCGGATGGGCATTCCATTGCCATTTAAATATTATAGGTGCCTGAATTCAGCAAAATACTCCAATATAGTCCAGTAGTCCATAATAGTAGTGAGTTGTCCATAATAGTAGTGAGTTATCCATAGACTTGCAATGTCAAAAGTTGTTGACTTGAGCCTTTCACAGCTCAGCATATTAATATGGCTTTACTTTTTAATACCTCGTTTTTCTACTTTTCTGCTGGATAGTTAAAGCCAAGATAAAGTAAAACCTATATAACAAGAAATGTAACTTCTGTATCTGCCAAGGTCAGTCAAAACCCCTCAGGATGTAGCCTGAAACCCTGTACCGCAGTTTGTAGATCCTTTGTCAGTGTCAGCCATGTGGAAGAGTCATGGCCATTGCTTGACCAATTTGCTCTCTGTGAAAGCCTGAGAGAATGTTTTCTCTCCATGTGACTCTCCTTAGGAACACTCTACATCATCGAACACATTCCTCTGTGGCCCCATAATCTCCTTGATGAGAAAATTTGGGACATCACTGAGTTACAGGATTTTTAAACAATGTGGACCCTAGTCTATCAGATTGTAAATTATTCTTTCATTTTGTCAAATAGGTGACATGTACAACTTAAAGGAGAAGAGGAGGTCTGGGTTAGCTCACAGTTTTAGTGGTTTCAGTCCATGGTTGGCTGGTTATGAGGCAGACATGGTAGCCAATAAGTAGACAAGAAGCCCCAGGAACTCACCTCTTCCAACTAGGCCCCACCTCTTTAGACCATCCTTTTGAGCTGTGAACCTATCAATAAATTAACCCAGTGATGAGTATAGTGTGCCTGCTACCTCTGAATGTGAGACTTCTGGGGACATTTTCTATCTAAAGCATATTTATTAGATTTAGGCAACAGAACATCTAGTTTCATCATTCTGGCAGCTATTTAAAAGTAAGTTTATGCATATACTTAAGATAAACTTTTAAGATAACTTCTTTTCCTGCAAGTTCTCTAACCCCCTTGGAGTAATAATTTAAGAGGATAAATATGTTTGCCCTTTGTTCTGTGTCTTTCCAGGTAAAATAGACTTGTAGGGTTAGAACCTTTTCACTAACACTTTTATACTGTTTGATAGCTACATAGCTAAATAGGTGAAAGGAGATTTAGTTGTTTTGTTTTGTTTTGTTTTGTTTTTGGGAGGGAAAACCTTTATTAACTCTAAACACATGGAGAGGACCACGACCAGGGAGATGGGCAGATCCTCTAGATTTAGTAGTTTGTTTGCTATCTTTAGTAGTTTGTCTGATTCCTCAGCCTGTCCTGTTACCAGTTTTGGTTCTTCATTGACTTTGGTTTAAATTTGTAGCAGGGTGAGTTACTTTCCAAAAGCCTCCAGATGTACATAGTGTATACAATGTATTTCTTCCCTTAAAAATAGTCACTTCCTTTTAAAATTTTTTTTCTTTTTTTTTTTTTTCACTTCCAGTTTTTGGAAAAATTTTCAAATTTATAGTACAGTTAAAAGTGTAGGGCTGGGAAGATAGCTCAGCAGAATAAGCGATTGCCTGACAAGCTCAAGGTCCTGAGTTCAACCCCCAGTACCGCAAAAAAATAAAAAAAAAAGTAAAGTCTAAATAACATGTATCATTTACCTATATTCAGTAATTATTATTTTGCAATCTTTGTTTCATATCTGTATGGGAAGGGCTTTGCACATGTTAGGGAAGCCTTCTACTACTGAGCAGTAGCACCTTTCTTTTGAAAGAAGGTGCATCATACTTTAAAATGTAAAGACAGCAAGCTGAGTCAAGAAGATCTCAAGCTTGAGTTCATTCTGGGCAACTTATCAAGACTCTACCTGAAAATAAAAACAAATAAAAATGGGCTGGGGATATAGCACAGTAAAGGCCCTAGCTTTAATCTCTACTGCTGCAACAAAAGAAAAGAGGAGATAGACATGAGGAGATAGACATGATTATAATTGTTACACATCTAAGCAATTCAACATTGGGTCTTTTGAACTGCTGAATCCTTGCATTTTGGCAAAATAAGATGTTCTAGGCTTACCATGTATTGTGGCCCACACTTTTCTATCGAGAAAAAGTGTGGACTTCTTGTACAGTGGACCCTTAAGTTATGATTGTCGTCATATGTGTACAACTTGGGTTATGACTGGAATTTTAGGTTTGGCTTAATGATCAAAGTCTTGATCTGAATGCTGGCTGCTTGTGTGGTTGTAGACTTGTGATGTCAGAAAAGTATATGGAAGCCTATGTCAGTCTAAACCCAGACACATGTGTTTGTGTACAGGATGTGCTTTATTATATAATCTCTGATTATTGTTATCAGAATGACCTTGGAAAGCTAGAAAAGAAGCAGAGGAAGGAAGGCAAGGGAAGAAAGCAATCACAATTGAAAGAAACTGTGGAGTAGTATGAGTGGCATTTGCATGACTGATCTTCCTAATATGTACAACATATTGAAATCTACCATCTCAACAGTGTAAGGAAACTAGTGTTGCTAGAAGTGTCAAATTAGACATGATTTTCTGTTTTAGGTGAGGGAGAAACTTAGCTACTGTGAATAAATAAAAGCCAGATGCCATTTAAGTCTACAATTTGTGAAAAAAGCTGGCACTATAAATGCAGATCTCCTAAAGGGTAATCCATCAAGTGATAATGGTGAAACATTTCATACAATAAGGAGTAGTTTTACTATTTTAAATCTAGAACTGGGGTTTGTAACTAAGCATGGTAAAGCCAACATTGCTGAAAAAAGGGCTCTGAAAGTTACATACACCATTTTGAAATGATAACAGAAATTGCTTTTGCTCTCAAGTTTTCAACTGTGATGAAACTAGCCTTTTCGGGGGGTGGGGAGGAGAGAAGCCCAGAATATACATTATCCAGGGAGAGAAGAAAAATGCCAGGCTATAAGCCTATGAAAGACAGTCTAACCTTATTGCTATATACCAATGTGAGTGGTGACCTCAAGATAAAGCCTCCCTTGGTCTATCACTTTTGATATTCTTAGTGTTCAGAAAACAAAGTCATAAATAAGATAGGAGTCATATGGAAATCTAACACAAAAGCCTGATTAATGAGTACTTTTTCCTGAGTGGATCAGGGACGGCTTTCTGTTCTACTGTTAAGACATATCTAGAGGACAAAGGTTTACCACTCAAGGCTGTCATCATGGACAATGCTTCTGCTCACCCACAAGATTTGAAAGAAGAATTAACTGGCTGAGAAGAATTCCCACTCAGCTCAGCCAAGTTCCTCCCAACTAATACAACTCCTCTACTGCTGCCAGTGGACCAGCATCGCTAACTTCAAGTAACTGTTCTGAAATGCTTTCAGATGGTCTCAGATACAGATTTAACCTGTAGAGTTATGAAAGGAACATTACAGCATTCTCTCCTGTGTGGGGTTGAGAAATTCTAGGCCAGTAAGGACACTGAGATCTGCCTGGAACAAAGTATGGCCTAAAATTTTACAGGAGACTTTGAAGGCTGTGTAGAGGACCCTGAGCCTTCATTTGACCCTTTGGTTGATGATGTCACTATAGCAGAGTCCATAGGCTTACAGGTAGATAGTGGTGATGTTGAGGAACACTCAGGAATTGTTTACAGAGGAACCTGAGCAACTTCTGGCTGAACAACAGAGAATGGTAGCTGAGGAGCCTTCTGAAGGGAGAGCTATTGTGCCAAAGTTCTTCTGAAATAAAATCCTGAAAACAATGGATAGAGAAGATCCATCTAGACAGAAAAAGCCAGATGTTGTATTCATTTGCATAATGACAATGTGATGTCATACTATAGAGCACTGTTAAAAGACAGAAGCACTCTTAGATGACTTTTTAGTTTTGAAAGTGTTGAGTCAGAAGCAGGTCCTAGTGAGCTATAGACTTAAGGAAAGAAAAGACACCAGAGAGCCAGCTTCTTGATGTTCTCATGCAAGGGGACTCTCCATCCAAATAATGACAGACTTTCATTTTATCCTCTCTTCCTGGAGGCCAGAGATGTCAACTTGAGTGGTGAGTACGTTATGAAATTGTTATTCCTGGTTAACTGAAACATTTTAATAATATTTTGGTGAATATACTAGGAAAATTATTGGTATTTCTGCTAAATTATGTACATTTACAAACTTTTATTAAGACAAGTTACAAGAATTACTTTGGGAGGTTTGGAACACATTTATGGATATTTCTATGGTTTCTTATGGGGAAAAATAGTCTTGACTGCAACCAACTTGAGTTATAACCAGCCCCTGTAAATGAACTCAGTGTGTAAGTCATGGGTCCATGGTACACTGATACAACTTAGCAACGGTTTATATATAATGTGACTGTAACGCACATTTGCTTTATTTCAGTAGTTGGGTCAGGACACCAGATGACTTGGGCTATTAAAACTGTAACTGGTACTTTAGTCCTGTGTGATTCTGAGATAAGACCAAGGAATAATATTAAAATGTACAATAAAGAGATTAACATTTTAAGCCATATTTCTTGATATTTTTGGCAGTCAAGAATATTTTAGTACATTAAAATGGAAGTGATTCTATGGTGGATTCTCCTTTTAGTTTTTTGAGATAGGGCCTGGGTATGTAGTTCAGACTGGCCTTGAACTGTGTAGCCCAGGCAGGCCTCAAGGTCTCAGTGATCCGCCTGCCTCAGCCTCCTCAGTGCTGTAATCCTGAGAGGGATTTCAGGCATGTATCACCAAGCTTGGGCCTTCTTTTTAAGAGTATGTGCAAGGGCTTGGAATGTAGCTCAGTGCCACAAGCACCTGCCTGGCAAGTGCAAGGCCTTGAGTTCTATTCCTAGTACCAGAAGTGTGGTATTCACCACATACACATGGAATTCTGCTCAGTGTCTATAGTTTGATAAAAATGAATTTGCTTATGGGCCCAATTTGTTTCCATAAAATCCCACCAAAAGAAACCTGTATGTGTAGTGGATGTATGTCCTGTGGGTTGTTGTCAAGGCACAATTGCTTTGGTTTAGTTTTATTATCAAAAAAGCTGTTTTAAAGTTTTTTAAACTTTTCCTTAAAAAAAAATATTTGCTGACAGTCTGATCTTGCATGTAATTAAAACCAAATTAACTGAATGCTAAAGTTGTTTTTTTTCTGTGTTAGCAGTATTTCTCTAAGCCCAAGTAATTAATTTTAGGACTTTATCAGCCTACTGGGCAGACTGCAAGCCAAGCAGAAAAAATTATGAGTCATTCTGTATATGCAAGATGAAAGTTTCCTTTCTGAAAATCATTTACTAGGTAAGTATAATTTTGCTTAGTATAATAAAATAAATGAAGTAGCTCTTGTATATTTTGTTTAGAGCCATCTTCATTATAAGATATGTACATTAACTGGTTCCCAAATGACTCCATTATCCCATACATTCTACTTTGTTAGCTTCCTGTGCATGTAATAATAAACTTGTGTCTTTCTCCATTAAGTGTTCTTAGATAGGTTAACTAAGAAAACAAAATAGCCAAACAGGGCTAGATGTGTTGGCACATGTGTATAATCCTAGCACTTTGGAGGCTGAGGCAGAAGGATCTTGTGATTTTTGAGGCCAGCTTGTACTATGTAGTGAGTTTAAGATTGTTCTGAACTATATAGTAAGATCCTGTCTCAAAAAACTCCAAAAAACCATTAAGGCTAAAAATGGAAATGCGGGTAAGATTTTTGCTAAGCCAAGGGAAATTTCCTAAGTAAATTAAGATTCTTAAATTAAAAAAAATACCTATTAGTTTTCATGAAATACAGTGGGAGTTAATAGCCATTTGTGTTGAGATTATTTATCTCCGTTCAAGAAAGCAATCTGAACTTTAAAAAATTTCCCCACAATTCTTTCAAAATGATAGAATTCTAATTTAGAACAAGATAAAATTGTTTACAAATTTATGCACATAGGAAATTTTTAGCACAGTGCTTATCTCTCCTTTATTTAAAAAAAAATTGATTCAGCAACATGCACAACATCCTAGATTTTACCCAAGATCATGTACTATAAAAGTCTTTTTTTTTAAAAGAAAAGTTTTTTTATATCTTTAGTTAAATCCCATGATCCAAGAATCCTCATAGTAAAGGTCCTCTGGGAAACTCATTCTTTACACTGGATCTTAGAAGGAGATAACTATAAGGCTAAGGAAACTAATGCCAACTAAGCATGAATATAACTGTGATAGAAAGTAAACTCAAACTGGCAACCATAAGAATTGGAGTGATGTTATTTTAAAATGTTATACATTTTTATATTTGTGAACACAAATTTTTGCCATACCTTCTCATGTGCTCCTCATATATAAGGAACAATGGAGACAAGCTTAAGAGGAAGCCCTGCTGGATTTCTTCTACCTTTTCTTTGAGCAGAACCACTATGAAAATGAGTACCACATGACAATATAGAAATGTAGAAATTTTTATTGTATTCAGATATTAGAATGAGCTTAAAGTGTGTATGTAAAAAGCAGAGTCTAGAAAACAGATTTATGATTGTAAGCCTTATCCTTCATTACAGAGATGTAACAACTACCTACACATAGAACACTATTTCCTGGAGTAATAACTGAAAAAAGTCTCAGAGGATGTGAACTTGGAAGATCTCCTTGCCTGTCAAGCTGTTCCCTTCAGGTCACAAGACTGAGGTTACAAATGGACATATTTTTCTCTTGAATTCAAATCTTTACAACAGTTCGAATACTGTAAAAGAAAGCAATACACAGATTTTTGAATGACAATCTTTAATGACCACTACAACTTTTTTCACCCTCTTTTGTAAACCCCGAATTACTATTATATTCAATATTACGTACTTAAGAAAAAACTTACCTCTTCCCTGAATGCATCAGCTCAAAGGCCTCATTAATTTGGTCAAAGGGCAGATTGCCAGTCACAAATTCATCCACTTTTATCTTTTTGGACATATATTCAGACACCAACTTTGGAACACTTTCTACACTCTTCCATCCT